TGCGTGTGTGCGTGTGTGTGTGTGTGTGTGTGTGTGTGTGTGTGTGTGTGTGTGTGTGTGTGTGTGTGTGTGTGTGTGTGTGCGTGTGCGTGTGTGTGTGCAGGAGGCTGAAGCTAGCTCAGTTCGATTACGGGCTGAAGTGTTCGGAGATCGCGAAGCGTGTGGAGGGAATGTCCGGACGAGAAATCTCCAAACTCGCAGTCGCCTGGCAGGTTTGTTCATCCGTGAACGACGTGACAAATACACTCAAACTTCTAAATCAAAATGATTGAAATCGTCACTCAACAACAGAAATAGAATCCGTGTTTAAATGTTTGTGTGATGAAGCGTGTGCCGCAGAGGCTCATGGGTAATGTGTGTGTGTCAGGCGGCGGCGTACTCCTCCGAGGATGGTGTACTGACCGAGGCCATGATCGACGCGCGGGTGGATGACGCCGTGAGACAGCACCGGCAGAAGATGGACTGGCTTCATGGAGAAGGGGTTCTGGATAACGAGGGCCGGCCGACGCCCACCAAAGGCTCCGCGCCGCCGCTCAAGGCACAGGAAGTGCTCCGCCCTCTACAGGAAGTGCCATCAGACCGGAGCAAACGCGACGGGACTCCAGTTTAACGCTCGTTTGGAGTAACGATTAGAGCTGCAGAAGTGTCTGTCTGTTGTGTGTTTGTGCTGCTGTTTACTGATCACAAGTCTGTAACTTTAATTCTGTTAATAATCACTGAGAAACTGGAAACAAGTCCACATGAAATCAATGGAAACTGTTTTTATGTCTGACAGTAAAGCAATTTTCGTTTCTTATGATGTCTTTTTTGAGTTTGAATGGAACCAGTTATGATTTGCAGCTCATTGACAAAATAACCAGATCATTTTACGAAATACTGTCACTTGCCAACACAATGTAAATAATTTCGGATAAAAGTATCTGCTAGATTAATTATTAATTAATTATGATTTTTAACTCCAGCCGTTGCAGTCTGTCAGTCGTATAATGCATGGCAATGGTAACAAAGTCTATGAGTGTAAAAGAAATATGCACAGACAAATCCAAATTAAACCCTGCGGCTCGAGACGACACATTGATGTCCTAACACACGAAACCCAACAGTATTTATATCATATTTACCTCTAATACAGCACTATGTCCAACTGCTTTGTGCGCGGGCAGGCGTCCGGTGCGTGAGGTGTGTACGCGGCTATGCCGTAGTTTATGTTAACGGCTGTGTTGATATCCAGCCGAAGAGCAATCAAGCATAACTTCAGGCGAGCAGGCTCAGAAGCTGGGAATACGTGGAAAGTCACCACTCCTGAATGAGTTCCCGCGAGAGAACGTCATCTTTTAGTTTTAAGTCGGTTTGAACAATCTGGATAAGCGCAAGTAAGTACCATTTTGATTAGCCGTCGTACCTACAATGACTGTGCACTGTGTAACAATGAGACAATAGTCCAGCCTGGACAGAATACGAGCTTGAACAAGGAGTTGTGTTGTATGTTCTGAAAGAAAGTGCCTGATCTTCCTAATGTTGTATAAAGCAAATCTGCAGGACCAGACAGCTTTAGCAATGTGGTCCGAGAAAGTCAGCTGATCATCAATCACAACTCCAAGGTTTCTGGATGTTTTTGAAAGGAGTTATGGTTGATGAGCCTATAACTGGACGGTGAAATTGGATGAATTGATGAAATGATGGGTTTGTTGAAACCACAAGCAGTTCTGTCTTGGCAAGGTTGAGTTGAAGGTGATGGTCCGTCATCCAGCAAGAAATGTCTGTTAGACAAGCTGAGATGCGAGCAGCTATCATCAGGATGGAATGAGAGGTAGAGCTGAGTGTCATCAGCATAGCAGTGATATGAAAAGCCATGTTTCTGAATGACAGAACCTAGTGATGCCATGTAGACAGAGAAGAGAAGTGGTCCAAGAACTGAGCCCTGAGGCACCCCAGTATTATAGTGATTATAGTTAACGTTATAGTTAATATTATAGTTACTGTTGTAGTTTGCGCTGTAGTTAATATTGATAGTTATTGTTATAGTTACCGTTATAGTGACCTGTGCGGTGATGCAGTGCTGTAGCACTGTGATTGTGTCATGTGACACTGGGATGTGAGACGAGTTTAACGGTCAGTCAAGACACAACAGCTGAGAATGTGAATCACCACAGCTGTGTGAACGACCCTTTAACAGCCGTCTCTCTCTCTCTCTCTCTCTCTCTCAGGTGTGGCGCATCAGTGTTATCATGGTTTCCTGAGGGCCGTTCAGGAGGGAAACATCCAGTGGGAGAGTCGCACATATCCATATCCTGGAACACCGATAACACAACGCTTCTCACACAGTTAGTCAACAGATCACACACTCACTCACATACACACACTCTCACACACACACACATTTGTTCGTGTTGATGCACTTCAGTCAGTTTCAAGCAGTTCAGATGTGCTGATCGCACAATATAGTGTGAAGGAACCTCGTATTCACACCTCCTGATTTCACACACACACACACACACACACACACACACACACAACAGTTTCCTGATGTTTAGTAGCAGTGCTGCACGAATCTACTGAATTAGATCACATTAGATTCTTTTGAAATGACTCTTTTGAACCAGTTCTTTTGATGAATCACAAGTGATTAGTTTGAATCAATGACTCATTGACTCAGTCAGAGCGTCTGAATCACTCACTGATGAGATGTTCATAATCTAGTTGTATTAAATGATAATTCTTGACGATGTGTAGCATCGTGAGTTTGGTTTATATTAGTGTGTGGTGTGTGTCGCAGGTGCGTGTTACTACGACTCGAACCAGTCGATGTACGTGTTCGGCGGCTGCACTCAGAGCAGCTGTAACGCAGCGTTTAACGATCTGTGGCGTCTGGATCTCAACAGTAAGGAGTGGATCCGGCCGCTGGCGTCAGGTCAGACTCAGTGGTGTGTGAGAGTGAGTGTGTGTGTGTGTGTGTGAGTGTGGCGTGGCGTCAGCTCTCCTCTCCTGTTGTGTTGTGTTCAGGCTCGTATCCGTCTCCTAAAGCGGGAGCCACGCTGGTGATGTACAGGGATCTGCTGGTGCTGTTCGGCGGCTGGACTCGGCCCAGTCCGTACCCGCTCCACCAGCCCGAGCGCTTCTTCGACGAGATACACACCTACTCGCCCTCCAAGAACTGGTGAGAGGCGCTCACAGCTTCACCAGAATAAACATTGTTTAGTCACAAATCACCTTTCATTTGTTTCACTAATTACGTTTGATTTTTCCCCAAATTACAGTAGACTTTCACCTCGAAATTCTGTTTCTCTCATTTGAATTCTTTGGGATTTTGTTTTAATGCAAAATTTTGATCATCAAAAAGTTTGTCTAATCAATTGAATTTATAAGATTGTAACAATTAAATAATTACAATTTTAGCAATAATATGGCCATATGAAATGTGCTTTATTTTAATGTAATCTGTTTTATGATTTAATAAATTTAGTGTAAGCAATGTAGTAATCAAATTAATTAAAACTTTAACAATTTAATAATTTATAGTAGGGTTGCAATGGGGTGAAAAATTTCCGGTACATTTCTAGAAACTTTCCAAAAATCCCTGGAATATTAAAAAAAAAATCCTGGAAATTTTCCCAAATTTCTGGAACGTTTCTGAAATTTACTGGAAATTTTCCACCTCCTTGCAACCGTAATTTATAGTAAAAAGTAATTTTTTTATAGTAGTTATTCAGTTTTAATACTTTAAGTAAATTCGAATCATCAAAAACCTATCTAATCAATTGAAGTAATAAAAATGTAATTATTTAGTAATTTATTACATTTTTTTAACAATAATAGAGGCCTGAGAAATTTTATTTAATTATGAAATTATTTTTCTGCATTCTTTGTTTTATTATTGAATACAAATTTAGCATTAAAATATAGTAATCAAATGAACACATAAAACATTAACAATTTCAAAATTTGAACAATAATAAGGCTCTATGAAATGTTTTATGTTTCTGGATTTCTCACTCCGCCCCTCTCTCGCCCGCAGGTGGAACTGCATCGTGACGACTCAGGGGCCGCCGCCGATGGCAGGACACTCGTCCTCTGTGATGGGCAGCGGTATGGTGGTGTTCGGAGGCTCTCTGGGCGCGCGGCAGATGTACGTATGAGGCGAGAGAGTCGGCCGCGAGCGATCGAGTGGCGTGTTTATCCTGTGTGTGTTTGTGTCGCAGGAGTAACGAGGTCTGGGTTCTGGATCTGGAACAGTGGTCCTGGTCCAAACCGGCCGTCAGCGGCCCGTGTCCTCACCCTCGCGGGGGACAGTCTCAGGTAACACTGCCTCCTCAGTCTCTCACTGACTCCAATGATGCTCTGAGTCTGAGCCGCTCACTGTGTCGCCTCGTGTTTCTCAGATCGTGATCGACAGTGAGACGCTGCTGATTCTGGGCGGCTGCGGCGGACCGAACGCTGTGAGTATCTGCTGAGCGTGTGTGAGAGAGTGAGTGAGTGAGCGTGTGAGTGTGTCTGTCTGTGTGTGTGTGTGAGTGTGTGTGTGTGTGTGTGAGTGAGAGAGCGTGTGTGTGTGTGTGTGTGTGTGTGTGAGTGTCTGTGTGAATGCGTGCGTTCGTGCGTGCTTGCGTGCGTGCGTGCGTGTGTGAGAGAGAGAGTGTGTGTGTGTGAGAGAGTGTGTGTGTGAGAGAGTGTGTGTGTGAGAGAGTGTGTGTGTGAGAGAGTGTGTGCGTGTGAGAGTGTGCGTGTGCCATTGTGATTGTGTGTATAGATGCTAAGCTGTTTGCCTTTTGGCGTTCTCATTTCGATTTCCTTTTCGAGGCTGTTCTGTGAGTGTATACAGCATCATAACTGAATGGGACTATGGTCTACACTACACACAAACACACAAGCTTTTCATAATCATAAGGATTACCTCCATTTCTGCTCGCTCACTCTTTTCATGCTAATAGGACGCAACCTGTGAGCATTAATCATCCCGACTGCCACATTCAACACAAGCTCATATCCAGACAGGAATGTAGGAATGTAAAGTTTTTTTGTTTGTGTGTTTGTGTGTGTGTGTGTGTGTGTGTGTGTGTGTGTGAGAGAGGGTGTGTGCGCGTGTGTGTGAGAGAGAGTGTGAGTCTGCGTGCGTGTGAGTGTGCGTGAGAGAGTGTGTGTGTGTGTGTGCGTGTGAGTGTGTGTGTGGAGATGCGCTGCAGTGACCGTCTGTGTGTGCAGCTGCTGAAGGATGCGTGGCTGCTGCACATGAGCGCCTCCCCCTGGACGTGGCAGCAGCTGCGTGTGGAGAACGAGGATCACGGCGCGCCGGAGCTCTGGTGCCATCCGGCCTGCAAGGTGAGCCTTCAAACGTTCACTTCCTGAGTTAGAGAGCTGAGATAAAAACATATTTACTTTTTATAGTTGTGATTAAAGTCAGAATTCTGAATTTAGATCTCGTAATTCTGACTAAACTTGCGAGAAAAATTGTCTGAATTGTGAGATAATTAATAGTTACGATAACAGATAATAGTTATGACCTTTTTTTTTTTATTCCATGACAAAAACAAAAAACAGGTGTGTGAGAAACTCAGAATTCAAAGAAAAAACTGCAAAAAAAACAGATGAACAGAAATCAGTCCCCAATTTATTTATTTTATTTATTTTGGTAATCTGTTTCACTCAGATGTATGTCACAATTTAGATTCACAGTCTGGATTTGAAAGGCGTCATATTTGCAAGATGTGAAATTATAATTACAAAAAAGTCATAATTATGAGATGTAAAGTCAGAATTACAAAAAGGTCATAATTGCAATTTGTAAAGTCAGAATTATGAAAAAGTTAGACTTGTGAGATGTAAACTCAGAGATTTGTCGCTACATTGGTTACATCACGATTTTCCTTCAATTTAGCTGAAAAGGAGCCGCAGTATGTTGACCACTCTCTCTCTCTCTCTCTCTCTCTCTCTCTCTCTCTCAGGTGGGTCAGTGTGTGGTGGTTTTCTCTCAGGCACCGTCGGGGCGAGCTCCTCTCAGCCCGAGTCTAAACTCTCGCCCCTCCCCCATCAGCTCAACGCCCGCCCCTCTGGGGCCAGACCCGCCCTCTCTGCGCTCGCAGTCTCCAGTGCGCGGCGGCGCGGCAGGCGTAGTGCTGGGCGCGGTCGAGGAGGCGCCCTGTGTGAACGGCCGCTGGGGGACCCTGCGTCCGAGAGCATCGGCCCGAGCACGAGACGGCAGCCCGTCACCCTCGCGAGGCCCCGACAGCCCGCCGCTGCTCAACGGCTCGTCACCCTCCCCACGCACCAGCCCAGTCCAGACGGCGTCTCCGCCCACTCGCCCGCTCGCGGAGTACAGCTGGGATGAGTCGCCCGCCGCCGAACCGCCCGCTTCCAACGGGCTGCACACGCCTCCACAGGCTGGCTCGCCGCACACCCCTCCGGGCGCCGTTTCTCCCGCCGCTCTGCGCCGCAGTCTGGAGGCCGTCAAAGCCTCTTCGTCACTGCCATCCTCTTCCTCGCTGTCCCAGCCGGGCGCATCCACCGGCACGCCTCCCGCCTCCTCCAGCCCTCCGCAGGCCGCCGACGCACACTCCATCCCGCCCATCGCCCGCCGCCTCACCCACCACCCGCCGCAGAGCCTGAACGTGGGCAAGCCGCTCTACCAGTCACTCAACTGCAAGCCCATGCAGATGTACGTGCTGGACATTTCTCGTGCCAAATCGGGCGGCGTGGTGTCGTGGCGGGCGTACGGGAGCGGCGGAGCGCCCAGCGCCATCACCGGGCCGCCCGAGACCAGCCTGCACACGGTGGTTCAGGGCCGTGGCGAGCTCATCATCTTTGGCGGTTTGATGGACAAAAAGCAGAACGTGAAATATTACCCCAAAAAAGCAACTTTACAGAAAATTACGTTTCTACAATATTTAGTAGCTTATCAGTGGTGACTGTCAGTTAATGTTGCCTACATATGGCAGAAATGTACGGAAAAAATCAATTAAAGACATAATCAAACAGATGATGAAAAGACATAAAGAAAATAAATAAAATGCATTAAGAGTGTCACAAAAACGAGCGTGGCCTATACTTTGTGAGAGAGTGAGAGTGTGAGTGAGAGTGAGAGCGAGAGAGTGAGAGCGTGTGAGAGAGTGAGAGTGAGCGAGAGAGTGAGTGAGAGAGTGAGAGTGAGTGTGAGTGAGAGTGTGAGAGAGTGAGTGAGAGTGTGAGAGAGTGTGAGAGAGTGAGAGTGTGAGTGAGAGTGAGAGCGAGTGAGAGTGTGAGAGTGAGAGAGAGTGTGAGAGTGAGAGAGAGCGAGTGCGAGAGTGAGAGAGAGTGTGAGAGCGAGAGCGAGTGCGAGAGAGTGTGAGAGTGAGAGCGAGTGCGAGAGCGAGCGCATGAGAGCGAGTGAGTGTGAGTGAGAGTGTGAGAGAGTGTGAGGAGAGAGAGTGTGTGTGTGTGTGTGAGAGAGAGAGAGAGAGTGTGATGGTGCTGTTGAGGGAATGAGGCTGTGGATTGTAAACAGAAATAAAGTTCTCCATGTCTTAGTTCTCTGGTATAATGTTGCGTGTGTTTCTACGATCTTTACTATAACAGAATAAAGCTGCTCTTCAAACACTGTCTCAATTCACACATGATACATTTTAATGTCATTATTACTTTATTTTAGAATTATACATTTTATAGCTTTTATTTCAGTTATGTTTATTTGAGGCAGTCCGGGCTATTATAATCTTAACTGTTTTTGTATTTTCAATATTTAAAATTAATTTGTAAAATAAAGTATGTAAATATAAGTAAATACATATATAATTTTATTTAATGTTTGTATTTTAACATTTCAGTGTAAATAATTGAATATTAATTCATATGTTTAGTCAGTTTATTCATCATCATATATTTAATATAATTTATTTTTTACATTTTTAACAGCTGGAGTTTGTGATGGGGCAGTGTTAGTGTAGTTCACTCACGCTGTTTGTTCTGGATTCGACTCAAGAATGTGAACGTGCGTAATTCACCTTTAACCCATATGAATTGAGTCTGCGGAGCTCCCAGCTGATTGGCTGAACGCTGGGGAGGCAGAGAGGTGGAGAAGCAGCCGCGCGGTGATTGGTCAGGGAGCAGATGTGGGCGGGGCGTTCACTCCAGCGCTTGGTGTTTAGCAGCGTGTGAGTCACGAGCAGCTCGCGATCAGACTCGGTAAGACGCGCTCAAACTGAGCCAATAATTGTGTAGAGTACAGTTTATAAGTTAAACGGGGTTTGTATTTAGCGTATGTAATGCATAACACAGAGGATTAAAATAAATGCTACGATGATTTCATGAATATGCAAATGAAGTGTCATAAACTTACACAGATATGATATATTCTTTACGAAAAATAACTATTGTAGTAACCTTGTTTTTTTGCTTGATTGATTACCATTTGTATTACCAGTGTTTTGCTAGAAATGTCATGGTTAAACTATGGTTGCTGTAGTAAATCCATGGTTACCGTGGCTTTATATGTAGTTGTAGTAGGTTGATTTCTGGAAGGGTTGCATAGCATTCTGTGTAGTCAGCTTGTTCAGTAGTGTTTGATTGAGCAAGGCTTGTTCATTAATCATTGTGATGACTGTAACTTCTGGCCTGTTTCAGATTTGAATCCTGGACGTCACAAGCGCTTCCAGTTTTGTCCACATATTCAGACTGAGCGAAACACCAACTGCATGATTACATACATGAATACTGTGAGATAACACACACACACACACACACGACAGCGCGCACACGCTCCTGCAGGATCGGTGGTGGATGACGTGTGCTTCCTACACCCAGACATGCCCGTCATGCGGCTCATAAACTCTCCGTTCGCCCCGCAGGCCCCCATCACGCCCGTCGGCCCTCGGGGCCTGTGGCCCCCGCTGGACTTCACGCTGGGCGCGCTGGCGTGCTGCGGCGCATGTGTGTTCACCAACCCGCTGGAGGTGGTGAAGACCCGACTGCAGCTGCAGGGTGAGCTCCAGGCCCGCGGCTCCTATCAGCGGCACTACCGCGGCGTGCTGCAGGCGCTGTGGGTGGTGGGCAGCACAGACGGCCTCCGCGGCCTGCAGAAGGGGCTGACGGCGGCGCTGCTGTACCAGGGCCTGATGAACGGGGTGCGGCTCGGGTTCTACTCCTACACGGAGGCCACGGGACTCACGGACGCGCCGGGAGGGAGTCTGATCTCAGGAGCTGCGGCAGGAGCTCTGGGCGCGTTTATCGCCTCGCCAGCGTATCTGGTAAGAGACTCACCCCGCTCACACTGACACTGAATCAGCCTGTGCTGCTGCTTGTGTTTCTGCAGATCATGTGATCACATAACATGCGAAACTTTGCTTGTGTCGCATCACATGAAGTCACGTGACCAGAACATTGCTAGGTCACGGTTGTGATCTCGTGTCTGAATTAAAAGAACGCAAAGTGCAGTAGATTGCATATTTTTGCATCTTAGATTATACGTTGCACTGTGGTTTTAGAAAAGGTGCCACAGAGTGTGACATCATATCATGACCGTCGCCGTGTCCATTCGTAGAAATGTCACATTCTCAAAGTGTAGTGTGACGCAGATGAACACTTAAACATCTCGCAGCGTCGAGGCGTTTGATTCTGTTGGCCAGGATTCGTGGTTGTTTACTGTGTTTAACCGACTCATTTTCAGGAACAGTTGGGAGCCGTAACTGGAGTTGTTGTCTGTTTGCTGCTGTGTCAATCACTGCGGCATTGCATGCATGCACACACACATACACACACACACACACACACACACACACACA